ATGGTCACCTCCCCAGACAGCAGCATATTTCCTGTCTACACCACCGTCTGCCCGAGTCTACACTCCCTCACCCCTGAGCTACCTCATCTCCCCTAGTGATGCCTGTGCACTGGGGGAGCTGGTGGCTTATGCCCCACATGGTGGTCCAGGGCTGGGCCTCCCAGGGGCTCTGGCCATGGGGCCAGGTGTCACTCTCAGAGGTAAACACCGCCCAGTAATGAACAGCGAGCAGTGGGGCAGCCGCCACAGTATTTAACGGCCGGCCAATATCGGATTGTGCGGTTCAGCCTGGAACCGGCGCATTATGAAGGCTAATGGATTTTTGAGGCCAGATTGATTTTTCATTAATTTGGTAAAAATCTTTTTCCTCTCCCCTATAATTCTGTCTTAAAACCTCCCCCTGACAGCTCGATAAGTCACTGCCGCCTAATGCATGTCTGGCTCACCGTCTGGGGACCGAAGGGGGAGCTGGAGCCGGCAGGGGCTGCCAATCATGCCCCAGGTAAGTGCTTCGCTGTTCACAGGCCCTGGAGCACAGGCCACCCAGGGTGGGCACCTAGTGGGCCTCCTGGCCCAGGCTGCCAGCAGGGCCTCTCCCTGGTGTGGGCCTCAGCTTCCTGGCCCTGAAGGCCACTGGCTCCCAAGGAGACAGCACAGCCCCAGGGTTGTGGAACTCTACTCCTGAAAGGGCAACTGAGGCCAAATGAGAGGCCTGATCTTAGAAGCGCCAACCTTGAGTGGAGAACTGCCCAGGCCTCTTCTATGGCCTCTCCACCAGCTCAGGGACCTTCAGACCCTAGGAGCATCCATGATATCCCCCCTCTGGCGCATCATAGACTGCAATGCCTAGGTTCTGCAGTCCCAGCCTGGCCCTCTCAGTCCTGGGCCACTGCCTGCCCCTCATAGCCCAATTCGCTCTCTTCTCCACATTCTCCCCAGACTTCTCTCCCAGGTGGCCTGGCTCTCCTGCACCCCCGCTTTAGCTCCCACCCCTCTCCCTGGGATTCAGGTGAACTCTCAGCTTCACTCTCCCTCCAGCCACAGGATGTGCACCAGCAGCTCCCTGAGTATCATTCGTCTGAGCCCACTGGCATCCCATGACCAGCAGGGCCACGTTGGGTTGCCTCCCACAACCTGCCCCTCCTCCTCCTCCTGGAGTCACAGCCCCACTGCTGCCCAGGCCCACAATAGCTTGCTGGCCCTGCCACACCCTGCCCAGTGCCTCTGCAGGCTGCACTTCCGGATAGTGCTCCCTGGTTCTCAGGGTGCAGGGCGCTGGGAGCACCTCCAGGGGTAGAGTGCAGCTCACCAGTAATGCCCTTCCAGGGCAGCTCTGTCCCCAGATTCAGGCCCAGGTCCCCTTCATAGGGGGCGCCAGTCCTGTCCTGTCTGGTTCTGTATAACCAAGAAAAGGTCAGTGGCGACTGTAAGGTGGTAACTGTGCAGGACTGAAGGCCTGCTCAGGGGTTGCCCCATTATGACAGGGACCAGTGCAGGAGAAATGGAGTGACACTGATGCCACTGGTGACGGCCTGGTGCTGATCAGAGACAGTTGTGGTGATAGAGAAGGTCATGCTGTTGCAGATGTCACCACAGTGAGGATTGTGATGTGACACCAGCCATGGGGGAACGAGATGGGTAAGGTGACGCCAAGGATGGGGCACCATGATGGGATGGGAGACAGTGACGGGTGAGGTGATATCAGGGATGGTGAAGTGACATCAGGGAATGTGGGAGGGTGAGGTGACATCAGAGATGTGGGATGGTGATGGGTGAGGTGACACCAGAGATTGAGGACGGTGATGTGTAGTTTTGGTTCTGCTGATATCAGCCATGAGGACTGAGGTGGTGCTGTCACTTATGGTAATGTTCATGGTGACCTTAGTAATGGTGATCTGAAGTGGGCAAGGGGTGGTGATGGTGAGGATTCTTCTACTCAGGGAGAGGTGGCAGGTGGGCTGGGCTGACTGCCCCTCTGTGCCTCTGTAAGAGGCATTACCGCCTGCCCCCGTGGCTCAGGGTGTAGATGGGACAATCCTCCAGTGAAGGGGCTGTGCCTATCGCCCGAGGCCTGAACCCTGTCTCCTCTGTGCTTGCTCCTGGGTGTCTGTGTGTGAGCACATGTGTGCCTGGGGCTTGTGGCATGTCTTCCTGGGCTGTAGGGGGCTTGGTTATTTCTGTGTTGAGCTGTCTGATGGGTGAACTGCCCTTGGTGTAGGTGACTTACACTTGGAAGTGAGCAAGGATCAGTACAGTGGGGACTTCCCCTCCTCAAGGACTCCAGGACACTGTCCCCTCAGGCAGGACTCTGGACAGGCTTAGACACTGCCTGAGCTTGCTGTTGGGGACCCTGAGGGAACTTGGGAGTTGCCTCTGCAAGCTGAGAATGAATGCCCTCCACCCAGCCTGGTTCCCTGGGGTTGTCCCCCTGGCAGGACCCCTTGGTTTCAACTGCCCTTTCCTCACCCTTCTCAATCTACTTGCCTTTCTTCCCATACACTTGACTGTTGCTCAATCTGGGAACAGGTATTGGGAGCACAGACCACTAGTACCTGAGGGGGATTCACACCCTGTCCTGGAGGGACTCATGTTTCTCAGGGAGCTGGACATCAGGCAGACAGATGGGCAGGCTGTGAAGGGAGCCACTCAGTAGTGCGTGCTCCTTGGAGGAGGGCAGGAGGGAGGAAAGAGGAGAGCAGGAGGGCAGGAGGGAGGGGAGAGGAGGCTGTTCTCAGCAGAGGGAGCAGCACAGCAAGGTGGGGGGTGTCCCATGGAGGAGTTGGGGAAAACAGCTGGGGAGTGCAGGAGGCCCTGCTCCTCTCTCCTCCAGCCTACAGAAGGTGGCTGGTGATTTCTGGGGGAGAGGGGCCCAGAGCAGAGCCCAGCTCTGACCAGCTGGGTCTGGTCAGTGTCATCTCTTGGCAGGGACGAGGCCCTCCCAGCCTCCCACTGGAACTGGGTGTCCCCCTCTTTCTCAGGAGACTCACTGCCCTGACTAGGCAGAGTGCCCTCCTGGGTCCCACCTAGCAGTTGTGGGGGGTTCATGGAAGAGGCCTGGCAGATGGCAGGGAGGAAGGGGCTCCTTCTGGGCCTGGAACCCACCTCCTGGGATGGCAGCTTCACAGGGGCCTGGCTTTCTGGAGGCTTGGAGTTACTTGAGGAGACTGTCATGGGGCCTTCATTCCTCTCCTTCCTATGCTGGGAAACTGAGGCAAAACTCACCCTCTTAAAACATGTCTGCTGCCTGTGCCCCTAGGTCCAGCCCTACTCAGGATCACTGTCTATGAGAGGGTTTGTGGGGAGCATGGGACTGGGCCTCAGACCCCCCACATAGGGAGAGGCCTGGCGGGCTGGGAGGGAACAAGGGGCGAGTACAGTGAGGGGTCCTCTCCTGGTGGCCCCTAGTACCACACCTGGCACGTGCCCTCTGCTCCTTCATGCCTCCCCAGACCCACCCCTATCCTGTCCATGCCCCCCTCAGCATCAATCTACTCACTGCTGACACAAGCAAAATGGAATCTGCCTTCTCCCTACTCCACAGCTTTCTGTTGGCAAAGCACAAGGGCCTGCGGCACACACAGGCCCAGACTCTGAACTGAGGTGTCTCCAAGTAGGCTGCTGCACCTGGGGTGCAGGGGTGTCATGGCTTGATGTCTGTATGCACAGTCCCCATGTGTGACAGCCCTGCTGTCTTCCAGGTCCTCTGTGGGCTCTGGGGACAGGGCCTTGTGCTCCCACTTCAGCAAGTAGTCCTTCAGCACTGCCCACACATAGGCAGCTCACAAGCATCAAATGCCATCAGGTGTTCATGGTGCTCAGGGACAGGCCAGCCTGGCCCAGGGACTCCTCTGTGGCACGCAGTGACAAATGGTGATGTGGGTAACTGGCTAAACATGGATGACATGGGCATCTTCATGGCAGGCTAGATAAAGTACCAGCCATGAAGACCCAGGAACCAGTGAGCAGGGCATGTGTGGGACCGAGCTGCTAGGACGAGGGAGGCAGGCACCCACCATGCTGCTGGCCCTCAGGGCAGCTGCTGCCCATTGGAGAAGTTGCAACTGGGCAGCTCTCAGGGCATAGCTCTCCTGTAGCCAGCCCCGGGGTATCTGGCTGATGCCCACAGTGTGGCCCAAGGCCTCCTACTCTGCCCCCAGCCTGGGCAGGGCTGACCCAACCCTGGACCTGAGCTGTTACCTGCCCCGGTGGGCTTGTGACGGGACTCACCCAAGGTGCCACCCCTGGGCAAGCAGCATTGTCCCCTATTAGAGAACAGGCCAAAACTGGCTCCTGGGGTGAAGTTGGGGGTTCTGTCAACCCTGAGTCCTGCCCTTGACTGGTCCCCAAGGTCCTCTAGAGCCAGTCTGCTGCCGAGTCAGCTGTCTGGGTGGACACAGCAGGGCAGGGCCTGGGAGGCTGGACCTAGCACCCCATCATCATGCCAGGTGGCAGATGCCAGCTGCTGTGTTAAAGGACAGGGTGCTGTCCCTCCCTCAGCCTAGTGGCCCTCAGAGCTACTTTCCTTCTGGAAAGGGGCACCCTGCTGCCCTAGGAGGGGTGGTGGGCTCCCCCTGCTGCTCAGTCCTGCTTGGCCCAGAACCCCCCAAGGGTCCCTGACACCAGGAGCTCCCTGCTGGACCTCAGGGCCCTGCTGCTGCCAGCCCGTGAGCACCCACACACACCAAGCTTCCTCTTTACCCTGGGAGAACTCTGGTGTCTCCTACTTCACCGCAGCCTGGTCCTAGCCTCCCTTGCAGCAGAGGGGCCATGCAGGTGCATGGGCAGGGTGCACCCAGGTGGTCCACCCCAGGGAGGGCTGCAATTGCTGAGGAAAACCTCCTCCCCACTAGCCTATGGTGCTCCAGAGCTGGTCAGGGCGTGTCTCCTGTTCCCCCACCCTTTTCCTCTGTACGGTCTGCCAGAAGGGAGTCACCATGCCCTCCTGGACAGGGCCTGCCACCCTGTCAGCCCTGATTAGTGAGTAATAACCTCCTTGACGCACACTTTTATTAATCAAATTAGTAAGTGCTGAGGAGACCTGTGCGACCTTGGCCCGTTATGCTGATACACCAATTCTCCCAAGAGGGAGGATGTTGGGAAAGGATGCACCTCTCTCCAAAGTCTCCCTGAACACCTGCACAGCACCCCCATTCACACCGATCACCTCTCCCCCATAGCCTGGCACTAGTGGAAACAGGTGACAGGCACAGGACCCTAGACCCAGAGCTCTGACGAAGAGGGCCTGCTCCCACCTGGGAACTCTCAGAAAGGACTGGATAAGGGTGGGGGTCTCAGACTGCAAAGGTGCTGCATGCTCCTCCCCAAACCCTCGCCTGCCTTAAAAGCCTTCACCTGGGCCAGCTGAGTGGGTAGCAGCTGCCCCCTGGCGGTCGCTGGGGACGATTCTCGGCCAGCCCTGTCCTCACTGTGGGCTGCCTGGGGTTATGAGTGGGGAGTTATCATGGCTTCTCTTGCATGCAGCTTGGGCCTGCCCCTAGATGGCCCTTGTCGGCACCCCCTCTGGAGCCTGGGTCATAAGTCCACTCCTCTGGGGAACCTGGAGCAGGGCAGGAAGGGAAGCCCCGGGTTGGGCAATTGGAATGAGGGTGCCTGGCAGGATTCACTGCACCAGCAGGAGCTCAGAACTGGACATGGCTGAGACTAGAGTGTCTGTGCCCAGGGAAGCAACAGGGTAGGCAGGGCCCTAAAAGGTAGTCAGAAGGTAGCCCCACCAAGGAGGCCTATGGCAAGGTGCAGCATCAGCCCCAGCTTCCCAAGACTGGACCATCAGACTCTGCTAAGCCTCTCCCCTGCTGCCCCAGATGGTGGCCTGGGGTGTGTGAGGACAGCCCAGAGAGGCCTGGGATGCTCCTGTGTGTGAAGTGGCCATAGTCCGAGTACTGGACCCAGACCCACCTCCTTGGCCCAGGTCTCTAATGTGTAGGCAGGTGCAACCTCAGGCACCGTGGGCACTGCCTGAAGGTTCGCTGGGATGTGTGTGGGCCTGATGGCTGCCCTCAGCCAGCCAGAGCCAGTACTGGGGGAGAGGAGGTATGCAAGGAGCAGCCCCTTAAGGCCACCCCGGATGCTCAGTGTGTGGCTTGTGGGTAGTTGCTGAAGCCCCTGCCAGGGTTCAGGGTGCTGCACAGCCTCTGCTCTTGCCCTGCTTGGCCTTCCAGCTCCAGCCAAGGAGGGGCCAGGGGCTGGCCCGCGCAGGTGCTGGTGTTTTGCAAACATGGTCCCTCTGGCTCTTCAGAAGTCCTCCAGGACCCAGCAGGCCTGGACAGTGGTCCCCCTGCAGCCAGGACAGAGACAGACTATGGTCATCTCCCATTGGCCTGTCTGGGAGGTGGCTGGCATGTCAGGGACCTATCTGAGGATTCCTATCAGGACAGTCACATAGCAGGGGTCCCATGGGGTTCACCCAACCCCCAGGGGGCATGCTGGGTGGATGAACATCTGTGATGGAGCTTTTGGCCTAGAGGCTACAAGTCTGGGGACACAGAGGCCCACTGAGGAGTGGATGGGGCCTTCTCAGTCAGAACAGTGGCCCAAGGAGGAGGCAGCTGCATAGGTGCCCACCTATAAGGTTACCCCCAGGGATGGTGCGTCCCAGCTACCTTTCTCCAAGGGCTCTCAAGTGTCCAGGGCAAGGCCAGGGCCAAGGTGGGCCAAGGAGGTCCAGCACTACCCTCCCAAGGCCCCAGGGGCTCACCTTGCCAGGTGACCCGGAGCTGGGCAGCAGAGACACCACCTGCAGGCTCACACCGGCCTCCCCCACAGCCCTCAGCTGGGCCACCACCTCTGCATGCTTCCACCACTTGCATGGCTGCCCGTTCACCGACACGATATAGTCACCCCCTTTCAGTCCAGCTGCCTGCAGGGAGCAGATGGTGAAGTGGAGACAACATGGCCAGGTGGCCCAGGGGCTTGGCTTCAGGGGCTGGCAGGACGCTCACCGCAGCTCGGCCCCCTGGAACGACAGCAGCGATGAGGACAGGCGAGTCTCCCCGAAGTGTGAAGCCAAAGCCACCCTCTCCTCGGGTCACATGGATAGGCCCCACCAGCCGCCACTGGTTCTTGGTTGAGAACACGGACAGGGGCCCCTGAGAGAGCCAGAGGTCAGAGACCTGGCCAGATTGCACTATTCCCAGATGGGAACCAGTGTGATGCCACAGAGGGGCTGGGCAGGGCTGCCCCACAATAGAGGCCTCCCTCCCAGTAGGGAAGATGCAGGGCACAGCCATGGCCCAGGCCTGGGGGTGCTGGGGGCATGCTGGCCTGAACTCGCTTACCAGCCGGTGGAAAATATCAGCCACTTTCACCTGGGACAGGCAGGGGGTCCTGGCCTCCAGCTTGTGGTAGGTCTTAGCTGAAAGGGAAGGACGGACAGCTCTGAGCCAAGTGCAGTGGGTGCACCCAGGGGCAGCCCACCCACGCACACCGGCCCTTCCTCAGACCTCTATGCTTGGCTGACCCCCACAGTGGGAGGAACTGCCCCAAGACACTTGAGCACATGATCCCCCAGCTGCCTGATGGCTCTCAGAAGCCATTGCTGAAGTCCCAGCTGTGCCTGTCCCACGGCTGTGGGAGTCAGGTGCAAGGACTGAGGCACCAAGGAGGAACAGAAGAGCCTGCGTAGGTGACCGCTATCTGGGGCCACCTGGTCTTTTTATAGTTGATGTGACCCATCTTGAACAGCAGCCCCTTAGCCCATCTCCTGCCCTCTGTTAGGCCCTAGGTCCCACCCCGTCCTGACCCTGGCTGCTCACGCTGGATGTCTGGGGCCTCCGCAGCTTCACAGAAGTCATCCTCACGGTCCAGCTCCAAATACCTGGCCAGAGAACGCTGCAGCGCCTGGGCCACCACAGCCTGTAGCAGATCCACCTCGCGTGGGATGGGGCACACAGCATGTAGCCGCAGAGCTTCCTCCTGCCCTAGGATGGCACGCTTCAGGTGGGCCTTGCCTGCATGTGGGCCACAGCACCATCACACTGTGGAGGGCCTCCAAGACTTCTAGCCCAGCTGGCCCTTCCAGGATGAGTCCCAGCCTCCACCCCAGGATGTAGCATGCAGATAGGTGAGGCCAGGGTCTCTGGGTTCATCCCAAGGGTCCATAGCCATGGTCAAGAGGGAGGTGTGGCCACAGGGATGAGGGGTAGGCTGGTGGAGGAGGGCTCTGCCAGGACCAGGGAAAACTGCCTTGCAGGTGTCCCACCTGCCCAGAGGCTGCCCAGTGCTCTTGTGGCTCCTGCTCTTGGCCATCACCTACCAGGATGGGGGCATCTGGGGATACGTCAGTGGCCCCACCCTCCAGCACCAGGACACCAGGTGCTGCATGATACAAGTGACAGTGGAGAATGGGCACCCTGTGGCAGCTGGCCCAGCACTAAGACCAGTGTCCTCCATCTGAGGATGCCTCACCAAGTTTCCTGTGCTCTTCAGACTCCTGTGGCAGCACCGGGCCTTGGGGAACAGAGCAGTCGGGGGGCTGGAGGAAGACCTGCTGTAGCACAGGGAGCTCTCCCTTGTCCGCCACTGGAGGTCAGAGAGGCTGTAAGCCCCCAGCACGGGGTGGGGGATGGGGGGGCCTCTGTAGCACACATGGGCATGCAGGGTGGGGCACTCACAGGAACCATCGCAGAGGGCCACAGCCGCATGGTAGTGAGCCAGGGAGTGGAAGTATTCAGCCTTGACGTGCACCAGAGCAGTCCAGGAGACTGGCATACAGTCATGGGCAGGTGGCTGAGCCATGGTCTGGTACACAAGCCTATATTTGGCTGCCACCTGCCGTGGACACAGAGGACAACCCAGTCTGAGCCCTACGCCCAGCCTCCATCTATCCCAACCATGTCCCATAAGCTCCCCACTCACCCCACACCCCACGCTGAGCTGAGCTCAGGGGCTAAGGCCCAGTTCTTGCTCTGATGCACACAGTGATCCACAGGAAGGGACTTAGTATCCCACAGGGACCAAGATGCAGCTGGCTTTGGAGCCAACACAGGGCAGAGACAGGCATCTCAGCCATGCCTTGCTCTACCCCAACACATTGCAGCCTGGCCAGGCTGTCCAAGGAGCCAGGAAGGCACCCTGAACTCACCTGAGCAGCCTCCTGAGCCAGGTGCAGCTGGGCCAGGCCGTCGCTGGGGGCTGCAGGGGCAGGAAGCAAGAGGCCTTCAAAGATGCACTCCTGGGCCTGGGCAGCCATGAGCTGCTCCAGTGCGTGGAGCGAGGTGGCACTCATGTCCGGGCTTGGCGCGTGGGAGAAGTTCTCCCTCAGCAGGCTGAAAGCCCCTGCAGAGGGAAAGGTCGCTCACGGGCAGGGCCTCCCCATGCCCTGGCCAGCCTGAGGGAGGGCTACTGCTGCTTAGCTCCTCATACTGGGGAGCTGTCCTAACCCTTCCCAGGGCCTGCCTTAGAGAAAGGGTTCTGCAACCCCCCTTCCTCCTTGGGAGGATGGGTGCCTGAAGGGGTGTGCTATCCTCACCAGCAGCCCTCTGGAAGGCCTCAACTGCACGGCTGGTGCCCTCAGTGCAGGAGCGGTCCTGGCGTGCCCCAATCTGTGTGTGGAGGGCGCCAATGTTGAAGAGCACACTGCCCTTCTCAAAGGCCAGGGTGCGCTGCTGGGCTGGGACTCCTGTGAGCGAGTCGTACCTGCAGGATGGGTCAGGCTGGAGGAGCTCCTCCAGAGCCTACCTCCCAGCCCCCACCGTCTGCCAAGCCCCTACCAGTGGAAGAAGAGCCCCAGGCTCCTGGGGGGGGCAAGGAAGCGCGCCTCTAGGAAGCAGAGCTGGTTGTAGTAGGCCGCCAGCACCTCCAGGCCTGCAGCGTCCCGGCTGGGGGTCCGCATGGCCTGCAGGGCAGGAGCTACTGGGCTCACTCCACTCACTGTCCTAGGAAGCCCTTTGGGCTCCAGGACCCCACCCACCCATGGGGGTAAGGACAGGGTAGCGTGGGGGGAGGGTCAGCAGAGCCCCGGGGAGTGGCCATCCCCAAGCCAGCAGTGCAAGGCCTACACAGAGCCACTGTGAGCCCCCCAACCCCGGCACACTGGGAATATCTGCACCTGTGGGGACCCCTAGGTGTGCCTGTCTCCCCACAGCTTCCAGTTTCCCTGAGAGGTGGGGACTCCTGAGTATCTACACTGAAGTCCATCTCATTCTCGTCCATCCTAACTTAAGACTCAGCTTCCTCATCTGTCCTGGGCTGCCACTGGGGAAAGCCCACACACCTGTCGCAGGGCCTCCAGCTCCCTCAGCTCTGCCTCGTAGGAGGAGCCATCTTCTCCAAAGTGCCCAGAGATCAGCTCCTGGGGAGGGGGGCAAGTGTTGACCACCCCTGTGCCTGGCTACTTTCTTTTTTTTTTTTTTTTTGAGACAGAGCCTCAAGCTGTCAACCAGGGTAGAGTGCTGTGGCATCACAGCTCACGGCAACCTCCAACTCCTGGGCTCAAGCAAGTCTCCTGCTTCCGCCTCCCAAGTAGCTGGGACAACAGGCCCCCGCCACAACGCCTGGCTATTTTTTGGTTGCAGCCATCATTGTTGTTTGGCTGGATTCGAACTCGCCACCTTAGGTGTATGTGGCTGGCGCCTTAGCCACTTGAGCCACAGGCGCCGAGCCTGCCTGGCTACTTTCCTTGGGATCTCCCAGCCTGCTACAGAAGAAAACTCATAGTGGGCAGTAGGTCCACACCACAGGACAGGCTAGCTGCAGTGGCTACAGGGGTCAGAGAGCCAGCTCATGCCTGAACATGCCTTTGGGGGCCTCTTGCTGCCTGCCCCTGTGCATCCCTCCAGCAGTAGCCCAGAGAAGGGCTACTGGCCAGTGGGGACAGATGGCCTGTGGGGTCCCCAGGCTGGGTACTGATGTGGGCCCTGCCCCTCAAGCCCCGGGGTTCCTCCATCCCTATCCCCACCATGGAAGTAGGACCCAGAGACTCATTGATGCTATTTTTGCATACATTCCCTTATTAATCCCCATGGTGGTCCCGGAGGGCAGTTGCCATCCACCACACGACAGGCTTGGACACTGAGGCACAGTGCAGGTCACTCTTGCGTAGGGCCCTGAGCCCCCTCCAGGGCACTGTGAGCCAGTAAGGAGAAATGGCCCCAACTCAGCGGGAGACCCTGGGACCCTGCAGCCTCTCTGGGGCTTTCTCTGCAGGCTGACCAGGCTCCATCAGGTGTCCTAGGGCAGGGCACATGTCCACTCAGATTACCTTGCAGCCAGGGTTTGGGCCCCAGTGCAGGCCCTGAATGGTGCAGGAGGTGGCTTGGCTGACAGCAGGACATGGGGCCCTAGGTCAGCTTTTCCCTCCCCTGCAACTTGGTTTGCTCGTCTGTCCCATGAGGTGGCTTGGCCAGGAATCCTCCAAGATCCCCTCCATGTCCCCCAGAGCCCACAGGTCAGGATCTACCTTCAGGGGTGTGGTCCAGTCCAGTTCTTTGGTCTCCTTTAGGCCCAGGGGAATCATGGGGGCAGCAACACCTTCCCTACAACCAGAATGCCAACCCCAAACGCTCAGGCTGGCCCCTGCTGCCAGAGAGCCTGGACCCCACCTCTGGCTCCCGCCACATGGACACCCAAATGTGCACATGCCTCGGCCTTTGCTCACACATGCACGCACACACTACACCCTAACTACCCCTCACATACCCGCCTGCACACACCACCTGATCTGGAATGCGTCTGCATCGCTATCCAGCCCCTCCAGCTCCTCCTTCAGCAGCTGCAGTGTGGAATTGACGTAGCTTAGCTCCAGGGCGACTGTTTCCTTGACCCGGTGGTTGCTGGTGGCTCTGAGGAAGGCTAGAGGTCAGAGCCCAGCCCTGAGGCAAAGCTAGAGGGTCGGTGGCACTGCAGCCCTCCTGACCACTGACCTATCAGTGCTCCAGGACCCACTCCCCAGAGGGATGGGTGCTGACAGGGTACCCCTATGGGGAGACAGGAGCAGCTGTGGGATCCAGGTGCCCTCCCCTACAGTCTGGCACCCTGAGCCCCTCAGCGATGCACACCTGACTCAGCCTGGGGCACCTCTCTCCCAGCCAGGCTCACTCGCCCCCCTCACAGCACTCAGACACAACTTGCCTTGAAACTTGCAACCATGACTGGGACAGGCCCTCGGACACACATAGCACACAGCTCACACGCCCTAAGGGAGGCTGCCCTGGGTCTGGAAGACCCTTTCCCAGGCCCCCAACCTTGAGCTGTCCAGCCACCTGCCATAGCTAAGCCTACACAGTGCCTCTTCCAGGAAGTACCACTGGCTCCCAAATTCTGCATACCCAGGGGACATTAGTTCCCTGGCACCTCTGGAGGAGGTCACCACCTGGAGGACACAGAGCCTATGTGCTCACAGGCAGACACTGGGAGGACAGACGTCCCCATCACCCCCTTCCTCCTGCAGCTGGGCACTGCTGGCCTGGCGAGGTGGCAGCAGGGCTCACCTATAGAGGTTCTCAGCACCCGTCCGCATCTGTAGCTGCTTGTTGATCTGCTGGTGGATCCGGGCCCTACGGCTCTGCAGCCCGCCATGCTGTGCCTGCGAGGGGGACACAGCCCTGTGAGGCAGCCATGGCAATCACGCCTCTGCCAGCTGGCTCAGGGAAGTACAGCCCCCCCTCACCCTCGGGGAACAGGGTGGTCTGCCTAGCATAGACTGTGGTGTGTGTCTGGGGTGTGTCCAGCAGGTTCCAGTGTGACTCTGCTTACATCTTTGTACAGAGCATAAAGCAAGGCGGAGGGTTGAATTTTCTTTCACACCTCAGCTCACCCCTCGCTCTTGTGGCAGGCTGGAGTCTTGTCCACATGATGCTCAGGTGTCCCCCCAACCAGGGCCTGTCCCTGCACTCTCCCTGATGGTCATCTAGGAATCTCTGTCTTCTCTATCCATGGGATGCTGGTGGGAACATTCCTGACAAGGGTCTTGGTAGCCAGGTGTGGCTGTGCCCTGGGCAGGTTCCAGGCATGGGCTGGCTGGCTGCCCTGATGTCCACCTTCCCATGCTGTGAGAACCCTCATCTTATTCAGGACCCACTGCTCAGGGACAGTGACCTCCACCCTGGCTCAGGGTCACCCCTTCTGACTTGGAGTTGGCATAGCAACTCTAGTTCCCTGCTGATAAGCGACCCACTTCTGCCCATCCTATGACCAGGCCTGCTGGGGCCACTGGGCATGATTTTCTTGCCTACTCCTCCCCAGGGTAACACTATGTTTGAAGGTGAATATTGCAGCCGTGAAGAGAGCAAACCTGACAGAGGCATCCCTCCATCAGGTTCCAGGTGCAGGGAGGCCATGGTCTCTCCCTGTGCCCTTGTGCTTCTCAGGCCGTTCCCTTTTGTCCAAAAGGAGCTTACATGTATTTTCCTGGGGTTGCCCCCTAAATATCCCACTGTAGCATGTGACTCCTTTTGCTACAGTGAATGGGTTCTGTCTCTGCTTAGGGATGAGGAGTCTCCTGCAGCAGACCTGCCACCCCTCACAGAGTAAGTCGAGCTATCTATGATGAGTTGACTCATGGCCCCAGAAATACGTGTTCAAGGCCTCAGTAACAAGGCCTCCGTACCTATGGATGTGATTTTAGTTGGAAAGAGGGTCTCTACAGATGTGATTGGTTAAAAGGAGGCCATCATCCTGGGTAGGGCAGACCTCATCACACTGACCAGTGGCCTTATCAGACGAGGGAGATTTGGACACATCTATGCAGAGGCCCCGTGAAGATGGAGGCAGAGACCAGCGTGGAGTAAAGGAATCAGGAACCCCCAGGAGTTGGAAAAGGTGGGAAGAAGCCCCCCACCCCCCGAGCCTTCAGAGGGAATGTGGCTCTGCTTCGATGAGTTTCTGGCTTCCAGGACACGAGAATAGGTTTCTGCTGGGTCAAAGCACCCAGTGTGTGGCCACCTGCTACAGCAGCCCAGGGCACTCACAACTCCACTGGATCTACATTCATACCACCAAGTGCTGGCTGAGGGTGAGCTGGTACTCACTGGGTGGAGGGACATAGGTGCTCGTTGGCCAAAGCACAGAGAGGCAGGAGATCAGGCTGGGGAGGGTGGGAAGCTGGCCCAGGCCCCCGTGGCCCTGCTCTTGTGGGCACCATTAAGCAGGATATGACTCAGATTTGGGTTTGGAGACCCTCATCCTGCCCTAGCTTCTCACCCCTGCCTCCTCCAGAAAAGAACCCCTAGGGCTGTGGTTGGGGCTGCAGGAGCTCCTTGTAGTGAAGTCTGGGCCAGAGACTTGGGCTGGAGAAGTGGCAGGAGGCCCCCAAGTGGAAGCAACATAGGGGTACCTTGGATCTGAGATGCTTTCCTACACCAGCTTCCACCTCCAGTGTCTCTGCCCCGCACCTTGGAGATCCTGGTGCAGCACCTGGGCCAGGCTCATCCTAGCATCTCAGCTGGCCCTGTAGCACCTCCACCTCACGGGGAGGAATTCAAGGCACAGCAGGCTTGACCTTGGCCAAAGCTACTCAATGAGTCATGGTCCAGCCTATGGAAGCTCAGAGCCCTGCTGGGCCCCTGTCTCTTGCTGACGCAGCTCTTTCCGCACAGCCCCCACCTGCAGCCCAGTGCCTCCCTGCCACCCGTTTCTGCTTCATAGGCCCCAGCAGATTCATCCCCAGCCCTGGTCCTCCCCACTTACTCATCATTCAGGAAGCCACCCAGCTGGGGTACGGAACTATCCATGCCCTCTTGGCCTAGCACTAGCAGATGCCCCATGGCTCACCTTCCTCCCACCAGTCTCCCTATGGCCCACCTTCAAGGCAATGATCAAATCCCTAACAGGAATACTAACCTACCCCTGTTCGTCCCTACCTTATCCCGTCCCATCCCCTGTGGGGATGCCTAGCCCATCTCAGAGGCTGGGCAGCCTTTCCAACAAGCCCACCCAAAGGCCCAGGGCAAGCCCCTCCAGCAGAAAGCTCCTAGCCCCCACAAAGCCCAGAGACCTGGCCAGGCAGAGTCCAGTGCCCTCATAAGGGCCTGCAGGGTAGCCACAGATGCCCACCAGTTACGTGTCACAGGCCTGCACTGCTGAGGTAGCGGATAGACGACGAGACACTGAGCCCAGCGTCCCAGTACTATTGGTGGCCATGCTGGGTCCCTCATGTGCAATATGGGGCAGTGGCTGGGTCAGTCTTGCCTTCCTCCCTCTCCAGTCACAGGCCCAGTTGTGACCTGGGGGCTTCCTCCCAGCGCTGTGGGGCAGGGGGATGGAGACACCTCTGGAGGCTGCAGGCTAGGACCTGCCCCACTGTACCCCTGTGCCTCTCCATGTTGGGCCCTGCAGCACTTGGCCAATGTGCCCATGCCTTCTGGGCCACAGGTAGGAGAAAGCTGTATGGACTGCTGGTGGTACCATAGATGACACCACTAGAGGCTCTAGCCAGAGTGGGTAAGAAGCTCCACAGAGGATGGTGGGAGAGCATGGCTAGGCCACATGGGCAGGCACCACAGGGGTTACCAACCACCCTCCCTGAGCCATTTAGGGGCTTCCTCCAATCTGGGCCACTCATCAGCCCTGCAGTTGGTGGGAAGGAATTCACAGAAAGCGCCTTCCCTGGGAGACATCCTGCAAAAGTCACCAATCTACTAAATAGTTAAGATAAGGCCACAGTGCCTTTCAGGCCCCTGCCCCGATGGCATGAACAGAGGAAGGTTTTACTCATACACTGCTGACACTGGCTGCATATTTTCCTGAGTATGTCCCCCATCATCACACACAGGACAGTTTCAGATTTTCTGGGGCTTCTAGCTGGTCCCAGCCCCTTTCATGGGTACTCTAAGAAAGTCCTCATATCTTGAATGAGGTGCTCTGGTGCATGGCCACCTTGGATTAAGTCCAGGGCTGCTCCTGCATGGTCAGCTTCTCAGAGAGGTCAGTCCATTGGGGAAGACTTCCCACAGGAGGGGGTATTTGGGCTGTGTCTTGAAGGGCAAGAGGCTGCTAAGTGGTCCTGGAATAACTGGGGAGAGGAGACTCTTCCCCCAAACAATGGAGAAAGAGCAACAGAGTCGTAGAGACTGCTGTCTGGAGAGATGACCGGAGGGGCTGGTCTTGGGTGGGACAAGGAGGGACAAAGGAGAACACAGACCCCAGCCCCACCCCGGCCACCACTGTCTGGGGATGCTTTCCCTGGGGCCTGCGCCTCTTGCCCAAGGTCTCTCCACACCTGCCGGCAGAATAGCAAAGCCCAGGCCCTGGTACTCTATCCTCCATGGGGCAAGAGTCTGGTAAGGGAGGGTGAGCCACAGCTGAGCCACAGCCACAGCCACAGCCACACATCCCTCTCTATGCAAAGCTCCGGCAGGTTTTAAGGCTCTGGTGAGTGGCCCTGGCCGTAGGTATGGCTACATGCTAGGCAGTGGCCACCCAGGCCAGTAAGGCTGCCCTCATCAGATTATTTCCAGGACTTCCATCCTCACCCCCCTGGAGAGCTGCTCAGGAATACTAGCCCTGCAGGTGCCAGCCTGTGACTTTTTTGTTTTTTTGAGACAGAGCCTCAAGCTGTCCCCCTGGGTAGAGCGCTGTGGCATCACAGCTCACAGCAATCTCCAACTCCTGGGCTCAAGCGAGTCTCCTGCCTCAGCCTCCCAAGTAGCTGGGACCACAAGCACCCACCACAACGCCCCACTATTTTTTGGTTGCAGCCATCATTGTTGTTTGGCAGGCCCGGGCTGGATTCAAACCCACCACCTTAGGTGTATGTGGCTGGCGCCTTAGCCGCTTAAGCCACAGGCGCCGAGCCGCCAGCCTATGACTCGAGCACCCCTCAGCCCTTAGTCCTCTCTCCAGGAGGCCATGTGGCTTCCTGGCCTATGTGGGGAGGCCCAGACCTTTGGGGCTGAGAGGCCCCTTGAAATAGCAGCCCATTCTGTATACTGGGCTGAGGGATGTGTCAGAGGGAAGGATGCAGATGCTGGGTAATCAATCTCCCACTGTACAACCTCCCCTGTCCTCAGAGCACACGGCAGTGATCTAGACTCCGCCTTGTGCCCTGAAACCACTGTGACCATTTCTGCCTTGCACTGGGAAAGGTCTTTGGGTTCCCAACAGGGATGGCCCACAGAGGGGAGAGCAGAAAAGGACGGAGAATAGAGAAACAACACCCCCACCCCACACATTCTGACAATAAAGGCATGGGTCTAGTGGCCCCCAGAAGCCAGGGAGGAAATGGTATGGCAGTGGCCAGCACTGAGTTGTCCCTAGAACTGGCAAAAGTGGGAGATGGTCATCCCAGACTAGCCTGGGAACATCAAAATCATCAGAGCAGTGCTGGGCCTAAAACCTCTCCCAAGCTCCCTGCAGCCCCAGGGAAGGGCTCCAACCCCAGTAAACCAGCTTTTTCCTCTCAGAGACCCAGCCCTGGGCACCCTGCCTGCTGATGCCTCCCTTATCTCAGGGAACCCTTCCCCTTCCCTCTCCAAGGTCTCACCTGAGCACAGAGAAGCTGGGAGCCCAGCATCCTACTGACCCACCATCTCTGACCCCCACCCCCCAAGTGCTGCTGAGGGTACAGAAACTAATGGGTGTGACCATGAAGGGGTCTCCCAGGACACAGGGGCTACAAGGCACACAAATGTTAGATGGCCATGGATTAGGCACCAAGCCAGCTAAGAGTCACCCTCTTGGCGCTCCCCCACCCACCCCCCTAGCCTCCTTAGCTCCTGGTCTCCCCAGGAAACTATGGACTCAGCTACAGTCCCACTTCCCAAACAGCCTGGCTAGAAGCCCTGCAAGCCTAGTGGGAGGGTTCTGGGCTCCTTCACTTCCCTGCTGGCCAACCTCGGACTGTTCTCAGAATTCAGCCAGTTCTTCAGATAGGTTTACCAAGGCCCAGGGCCAGCAGGGAGCTCAGGTGACAGGCTGCTGGTGAGCATTCCAGGTAAGCACTCACTGGATACCAGCTCTCACTGCTTTGGGGACAAATTTGAGTCACCCAGACTGTTCACAGGGGCCTCAGATCCAGGAACGGCTCTTAAGGGAAGGGCTGACCTGGCCTGCCCTGCTCAATTCCAAGCATTATGGCCGGATAAGGGGCCAGCCTGGTGGGCAGTGGGGGAACTCAGCCTTACTCCAGCCCTGCCGCTGGCATCAGGAGGGCTTTCCAAGGTGGTGGGCCAGCCTCAGCAGGCTGGGGTCCCATGGCTACCTCCTGCATGCTCCCACACCCCCACAGGACCCTGACTGCTGGTTCATTGTGTATGCGAGAGACAGCTGGAGACAGTTTCTGTTCCCCTTCCCAGGGCAGCAGCCAATAGAGGGGAAAAGGACCAATAGCCTGGCCACAGCCCACAGCCTGAAAAGCGTCATCTACTGGCTTGCTGGAACTTCTTGTTTGTGCAGCTCCCAAACATTCCGCCCAAACAAAACGTGCTGGCTCCAAAGGCCACCTGCAGGCAGGGCCAACATAGAGACCGTTGAGTTCATGGGGAAGAGGGACAGGCCCTTCCTCTCCCCAGTGCCTGCTAGTTGCTGGAGCCTGGGAAGTGGGGCAAGGAGTCCGTGATGACTCTGGTCAGCATTGCCTGGCCAGTTATCTGCCACCTGAGTCCTCCCCTCCCCGGAAGAGGAGGCCCAGATACAAAAGCTGACTTCAACCAGCCAAGGGACAATCTGCAGTCTGACATCCGAGAGCAGAGTGCCAGGAACACTCAGCTGGGACTAGGGGCAGGAACCACCTCTGCTTAGCAGCCTGACTGAAAGCCTGGCATGAACGCTGGGGCAGCCTGCACTGACCCCCCTCCCCCCGAGCACACCCAGGCTGTAGCTGCACAGCCAGGACAGACCATCTCCTCCTTTCCAAGTACAGACTCAACAGGTCTCCACATCCAAACGCCGCGCTTGCCCAGTGCCCTGGAAACGGTGCCCAGTCAGCAGCCTCAGACTTCAAAAGCAGTAGAGGTTCGGAGAAGTGACAGAGAACAAACTGCCAGCCCTGAAGACCTCCAGCGATTTCCTATGCCCAGAGGATTCCGCCGCCCGCAGCAAAAGGCCACCAGAGCCGGTGTGCGTATGGGGGGGTGCAAAGCTAGGAAAGGAGCATCACAGGCGCCAGACACAAACAGGGGCGGGGGCTGTCATAGCAGAGCCCGGAGCCCCTGGCCTCAGTTTCCCCAGCGGTGAAACCCTACTGCGTTGGGACGAGTGAGATGTGGGAGGGAAGCCGCCAAGGAAGCGCCTCCAACCCAGGGCAAGAGGGGCCGGGGGCGCCCTCGCCCGCCGCCCCAACGCCCACCTTGCAGATGCTGCTCTCCTCGCCAGCGCCCTGGCCTTCTGGCCTCTCCTCAAGGATCATCGCTGTACCTCTCCCGCAGCGGCTGGAACAGCGAACCGCAGCCCAGGCCGCACTGCTCCTCGCGCCCGCGCGGGTCCGGGACTGTGCCGGGAGGAGGCCAGGCGCGCCTAGGTGGGGCGCAGACCCAGAGAGCGAAACTGGCCGCTGCCCAATCGGCTGTAGGGGCCTCTCCGATGGACAGCAAATTTGACCAACCAAAGCGCGAGGGAGGCGGGCTCTGGTTATCCAGCCCCGCCCCTCCCGCGAGTCCGGGGAATCGGTAACCCCTGACAACCGCGGCCCCAACACCGCGCGGCGGGCGGGCGCGCGCATTGCACATGCGCCCAGACCCAGCAGCGGACTCTCGGAGAGCTGACAAAAGTCCAGGACTCACAGAAGGTGGACGCGGCCGGGCAGAGCCCACTCCAGTGCGCCCCGCTGCCCAGTTCCCTTTGAGGGGACTCAGGAGTTTGTTCGTCGCGCCGTCTTATTCTGTCACCCTGGCAATGGGGACCCTGTAAGAGGATTGCTCCAAAATGTTTACAATGGGGCTTTTAATCGGTTTTCCCAGAGATGAGCGGCCGGCGACTTATAACAAAGCCCGCGCGCGTCCTTATGTGTCGCGAACCCTTCCGGGCCAGACAGAGACGTCTGTCTGGGGCTGTCACGTGTCCAGAACCACCTAGGACTTACCTGCCTCCACAGTATCGCCCCAAATGACAGGCAAAAATCTAAGTCAACGGAATTTTATTGAGCCAAGATGCTGAGCACGCACCCAGAACAGACACAAGCTGCAGGCCGCGCGGCTCTTCCCACAGGAGGTTGGAGCCCTCCGCGTTTAAAGGCCTCAGAGAGAAGGGGAAAGGCGGGGAAGAGGGCGATGAGGTAGTAGGTTCATTTTCTGAGCCCCAAGAAATCTCTTTAAACATGCAATAAGGAGATGAAAGGCGCATCAGTTATGCAGAGTCCCTGGCAAGTGGGAGAAGGTCTGACTCTGTCTCCAGTTCTGTGACTTGTAAGATACACTTGTCATTCATGGTTAATGAGGAATCGGACAGGCTCCAATTTTAGCTATGGGACACAGGGACAGTTTGCGTGTCCTTGCTTATGGGAGGTCAGAAAGGAGCTTCCCTAGTGAGTGTCTGTGGGCTTGTTCCTCTGGAATGCCAAAGGTGTCTGCCTGCTTTTTATGTAAAGGGTTGGGGGGGCGGTGCCTGAGACTGAATTTCTTTTTATAAGAACCTACTTCTGGAACAGGTCTGCCACCAGAACCTGTAGATAGAACTTGCTTGCTGCCAGAATGGAGCTGCTTCCAGACGGGCTTCCAGAGCCTATAGGACCAGCTGTTTGCTCTTCCCAGAGCCCCTGCTCCCTGGAGGGTGTGTATGGTTGGTTTCACACCTCTCCTGGTTTGTGCTGACTCCACCTAGACTTCACAGGAACTCTTCTCACCTGAGAACACTCCCTTTGTAGAGCAGGAAGACAGGGGCATAAGCAGCAACCTTAGCTCCTCTGTCAAGTTCCTCTAAAGTTCTGGCCCTGTCTAGGCAGCCACCCCACCAGGGCCAAGGCCATGTCATTCTGCTGAGCTTTGGGCTTACTGTTTGTGCCTGAGCTCCTTGCCTCCACCACAGCAAGCACACTTGACCCTGCCCTCCCCAGATCTAAATTCTGTAAGCTGAGCTCCTTGGCCTGCAGACCATCTGCAGTGGGCCCCTCCCACCAACACTCTCATCTGGCCCCTGCCAGGCAGACCTCCAGGTCAAGAGGTGTCTTCTCCTGGCCTTTTGGGGCCCTCAAGGCATCTGCTCCAGAGGCCCCTGGGCTTGTTATCTGCTTGATGAATTCACACCTGTCCTCCTCACTTCTGCCCTAATCACATAAGCACGGGAGACCTTTGACTACACCTTGTACCAACAGCTCTGTGGTTCAACCTTCCATGAAGGCAGGGGCTTCTGGCCACCTTACCAGTGGGGCCTGAATGTGGTCCAATGCTTTGAGTTCACTACGATTGTGTTTGTGTGGAGACTTCCCTAAGGGTCCTCTCCTTACAGGCCTGGTATGATCCTGTATGAGCAGAGACCCAAGCCCTCCCAGCAGTCTTCAGATTGTCTGTGTGAGTAGGCAGCAAGCAGGCATGATAGAAATTGTGTCCAAGTCTTACAAATTTGCTTTACTCTCTCAGCAATTTTGTAGGGCTTCTTGCTCCAGCAGGTAGAGGCCATTGAGAGGTTTAAGAGTAGCTCTCAAACTTTGAGGGTCATAAGACATCCCCATCCCCTGGGGATGCCTGTTTCCTGAAGGAAAGAAAGGATTTTCAAATGAGACTTTCATTCTTGGGCCACACGTGGTAGCTCACGCCCATAATCCCAGCACTCTGGGAGATGGAGGCAAGTGGATTGCTTGAGCTCAGGAGTTTAAGACCAGCCTAAGCAAGAGCGAGACCCCATCTCTAAAAATAGCTGGACGTTGTGATAAGTGCCTGTATTCCCAGCTACTCAAGAGGCTGAGGCAAGAGGATAACTTGAGCCTAAGAGTTTGAAATTGCTGTGAGCTATGATGCCGTGACATTCTACCCAGGGTGACAGAGTGACATTGTGTCTCAAGAAAAAAAAGAGAGAGGGTGGTGCCTGTGGCTCAAAGGAGTAGGGTGCTGGCCCTGTATGCTGGAGGAGGTGGGTTCAAACCCAACCCCAGCCAAAGACTGCAAAAAAAAAAAAAAAAAAAAAAAAGAGAGAGAGAGAGAGAGAGAAAGAGAATTTTATTCTCAGCCAAAAACTAGGTTGGAGAGTGGAATATGGATATTTTCAGATTTGGAATGTGGTCTGAAAATTTTCCTTTCTGGGCGGCACCTGTGGCTCAGTGAGTAGGGCACAGGTGCCATATACCGAGGATGGCAGGTTCAAACCCGGCCCTAGGCCAAACGGCAACACAAAATAGCCAGGTGTTGTGGCAGGCACCTGTAGTCCCAGCTACTCGGGAGGCTGAGGCAGGAGAATGGCTTAAGCCCAAGAGCTGGAGGTTGCTGTGAGCTGTGACACCATAGCACTCTATCCAGGGCGACAGCTTGAGGCTCTGTCTGAAGAAAAAAAAAAAGGGAAGGGCTAAACTAGTGGTGAGCTGTGTGACATTTAGCAACCAGTCCTCACAAGCAGGAGGAGCCCTGGGTTTTAGTGTTTGCTGATTTCCTTGGTGTGATTATTTCCACCAGGCTGATTGCACTGGGAAGAGATGGCCATGTGAGCCAGCTCCAGGATGCCCCAGGGACAGGGAGGAGATGTCCTACTAGCAGAGAGCTGGAGAGAATTTCTAGGGTGAGGGGCGTTCCCGGGTGTGGGCATAGCAGGCTGATGGGCTGTAGTCAGAAGAGCACTCTCCAAGAAGATAAAATCCACAGACTGTCCTAAGAGTCTGAATGTACTTACTAGGAGGAGACTCCATTGACCTGTGCAAGCTTGGGGTTGAGTTAGTAAAGTACATACAAAACAACAACAGCAGAATACGATAATTGTTAACTCTGGGGGAAATAAGAAGCTGAGAAGGAAATAAAAAATAATCAATGAATATTACCTGCTGCAGCTGTGTGTTTTTTTTTCATCGTCATAACAATATAAATGCTGAGTATTGATCCCGGGACAATTACAACATCATTCTATTAGGAGGAGGGGAAAGAGAGAGGAAGGTGGCAGAAATGCAGGACACATCAATAGGAAATGCCTGAATTAGAAAAGAACATTCCAGCAGAGGGATAAACACATTGGGTAAAAAATGGTAAATACCAAATCATCACTAAAAATGTCATGAAGGGCTGCCCCTGCAGAGGGGAACTGGGGCTGTGGGTGGGAGGCTGGTGTTTGCTAAGCAGGTCTTATAGAGCTACTTGGTTTGCTAAACTGGGTGCTTGTATGCCTTTTACGACACTGCAGTCCCAGAGCTTGTTTTTTATTTGTTTGTCTGTTTTTTAAGAGAAGGGGCCTTGCTCTACTGCCCAGGCTAGAGTGTAGTGGCTCAATCATCGCTCACTATAACCTCAAACTCCTGAGTTCAAGTGAGCCTCCTGAGCAGCTAGAATTACAGGTATGTGCTACCATGCTATTTTTTTTTATTCGATGGGGGGTGTTAGAGATGGGATCTTGCGGGCAGCACCTGTGGCTCAGTGGGTAGGGTGCTGGCCTCATATACTGAGTATGGTGGGTTCGAACCCAGGCCCGGCCAAACTGCAACAAAAAAATAGCCAGGCGTTCTGGTGGGCGTCTGTAGTCCCAGCTACTTGGGAGGCTGAGGCAAGAGAATTGCTTAAGCCCAGGAGTTGGAGGTTGCTGTGAGCTGTGACACCACAGCACTCTACCAAGGGCAATAAAGTGAGACTCTGTCTCATAAAAAAAAGAGATGGGATCTTGCTATGTTATCTAGGCTGGTCTCCAACTCCTGGCCCAGAGCAATCCTCCTACCTAGACCTCCCAAAGTGCTGGGATTATAGGTGTGAGCTAATGGACCTGGCACAAAACTTTTATTTGTTTGTTTGTTTTAGAGACAGTCTCACTTTGTGCCCTCAGTAGAGTACTGTGGCGTCACAGCTCACAGTAACCTCCAACCCCTGGGTTTAGGCAATTCTCTTGCCTCAGCCTCCCAAGTAGCTGGGACTATGGGTGCCTGCCACAAAGCCCAGCTATTTTTTGTTGCAATTTGGCTGGGGTCAGGTTTGACCCACCCCCCTCAGTATATGGGGCTGGCGCCCTACCTACTGAACCACAGGCACTGCCCTGTTTGTTTGTATTTTTCCCTCTGTCACCCAGGCTGGAGTGCAGTGGCACCATCATAGCTCACTGCAGCCCCAAACTCCTGGGCTTAGGTGATCCTCTTGCATCAGCCTGCGGAATAGCTAGGACTACAGGTGTGCACTAGTATGCCCTGTTAGTTAATTTTTCTATTTTTTGTAGAGATAGGGTCTTACTCTTGCTTAGGCTGGTCTCAAACTCCTGTCCTCAGGCAATCATCTGGCCTTGACCTCTCAGAGTGCTGGGATTACAGGTGTGAGCCACCACACCTAGCCCCAAAGCTTGTTTGTAAAGAACTGATGTCTAAGGG